GATGGATGGATGAAAGAATGAATCTAAACTGGATCAAACCTCTAAATCTAACACCAATTGACAAAAACTTAAAGGACAGAGGAACATGACAAATGACACCATGGGAATGTAGTCAGCAATGTCCAGAATGGGAAATTCCAGTGAGTTGACCCAGTTTCTTTAATAAATAAATGGTAAGGTTAAAAAGGGGGAAGAGGGGAGGGAAAGGAACTGTCGCTTAAAAAATAAAGAGATATATCTACCAACCACAAACTGACCTTATGTGAATCCTGACGTAAATAAACCATAAGTAAATAAATAAGTAAAAACAAACAAAGATGTACGAGAAAATGGAAGTTTGGACAAGGACAAGATATTTGATGATATTAAGGAATTATTTTTTTAGGTATGCTAATGCTCTCTTTTAAAAAAAAAAGTCTTCACTTTTACAGGTTTTGGAAAATGATTGTTAAGAAAAAGAAAAAGGAGAAGGGATGATCAGTACAAGGGAGGTGGAAGCTGATTTATCTTGCAAGAGAGAGAAGGAAAGAACAGAGGTCTCTTTTCTGGATCTCATTCTGTCACCCAGGCTGCAGTGCAGTGGTGCAATCACGGCTCACTGCAGCCTCAACTTCCTGGACTCAAGCAATCCTCCCACCTCAGCCTCCCAAGTAGCTGAGGCTACAGGCGTGCACCACCACACTCAGCTAATTTTTAATTTTTTTTTGTAGAGATGTCATCTCACTATGTTGTCCAGGCTAGTCTTGAACTCCTGGATGCAAGCAACCCTCCTTGCCTCCCAAAGTGCTGGGATTACAGGTGTGAGAAACCACGCCTGGCCATGTTTCAGTGACTTCACACCAGCTTCCAAGCTACTGGAAGTCTCCAGGTTGACTCTATTTTTCTCCACTCTCCTCAAGAGGAGTTCACAAGAACTGGGAGGAATATATTTTGTTCTCCCCCAAAACACACCCAGGAACTTCAGGACTTCATGTCAACTTGGTAAAACGTAGCTTTCTAAGCTAAAGCCTGAGAGACAAATAGGAAAACTCTTTCCCCTTCTACTTTGCTATCCTAAGGTCTGCCCATATTCTGTGTCCTCAGATGGTTACTTCTGTTCTTTATTTTATTCTCACTTCTCCTATTAAAAAGGGAGGATGATTTGCCACGGTGCAGACTCTGACTGAGTGGTCATCAAAAGACAGGAACAAGTCAGGCAAATAAATTATTTCTCCTTCTTTCCTTTCATGAACTGTTCTGAGGCAGTTTTCTCAGGAAACCTCTCACATGGTCAGGTGTTGTTTAATAAGCTGTATCTCTTCATAGCCCACCTCGGCGTAGCATGCATGGGAATGCATCTTCCTGCAGCACTGCCATCCTTCCCTAGCTCACGTTCATTTTAACTCAATCCTATCACCTTGGGTTTACACATCTCAAATCAAGAACCAGCACTTAAGACCAACCAACAAACATACAGACAATAAATAAATGATGGAGAAACAAACACAGGCACACAGATGAATCTCACAGACATAATGTAAATGAAAAGAGGTCAGTCACAAAAAGTACATACTGTCTGATTCCATTTACATAAAATTCACAAACGGGCAGAACTAATCTATGGTGAGAGAAGCAGAAGACACTGAGGGAGGAGTGTGGAAGGCATGAGGGTGGCATGTGGGAACTGTTCTCTAGCTTCATCTGGGTTGTGGTAAACAGGTGTAAAAAAAATTCATCAAGCTGTATGCTTAAGATTTATGTACTTACTTAATGTAAATTGTACTCAAATTTTTAAAAGTTGGAAAAAATTTTAAAGGGCTCAACTCTTGAGTATAACCCCCAGCCCTATATCCTAGTTATCTTCCATAGTAACTACAACATGTGAATTTTTGTACCTATTAAAAAATCCACACTGTGCTTCTAAAAGTCGACAGCAACTCACACCTGTAATCCCAGCACTTTGTGAGGCCAAAGCAGGCAGATTGCTTGAGGTCAGGAGATCGAGACCAACCTGGATAAAAAGGTGAAACCCCATCTCTACTAAAAATACAAAAATTAGCCAGGCGTGGTGGCGCATGCCTGTAATCCCAGCTACTCAGGAGGCTGAGGCAGGAGAATCACTTGAGCCCGGGAGGCGGAGGTTGCAGTGAACTGAGATCGGCCACTTCACTCCAGCATGGGTGACAGAGTGAGACTGTCAAAAAAAAAAAAAAAAAAAAAAAAAAAAGGACAACAATATCAGAATATACCTCTTCCAACTTAAGAGCTCATGCTGACAATTAACTGTATGGCCAAATAGTCCAAACCTATTCCAATGAGGATCAATATACAAAATAAAGCTTTTTTTTTTTTTTTTAACTGTATAACTGGGGAAATGAAGCAAGAACAAACATTTTAAAAGTAACATGAAAATTGAAATATCAAAACTCATTTCTTGGCACTGTCTGCCTGGCCCTAAGATTACCTCATTAATGAACCCATTACCTAATCAGTTCAAATTTAGGAAGGTAGACTAAACACACTTGGGGTACACAGAGAAAAGAGTACCTGCCTCCCAGCCTTGTTCTACAAAGGCTGCAGAAAGGCCCATCACCTGCTTCCCTCAACTCAAACCACTCCTGAGTAAGGCTTCTGGGTAAGCTCTCTGGGGTCTAAGAAAGTTTGGTATATGCCTTGTCTATCAAAATGGAGCTCATAGCATGCATGAGACTCTGGTACCTTCAGGTCATAAGAAGCCTCACTCTTTGGTCAGGACAGGCGAAGGGTAGCCACACAACAGGAAGTCAGTGGCAGAGAAAGGAAGTTAGGCCAGAGTCCTACTTCCTGACCCAATCAAGGCAGCAAGGAGTAAGAGGTTGACCTCAAGCAGAAGTATGTCTCTCACACAGCTGCAAATATGGCTTCTCAATCATAATGTAGCTGGGGGGCACCAGCTCAGCTGATACTTTCTCATTCCCTTAGTAGAACCCATCTCCATCTATCCATGAGGAATTACTTTAAAGAAAGGCTTGCACTGCCAGTGAGCTCTCATGGCTTAATTAAGGAATATCAACTGATTAACAGTTTACACTATATTCAAACTGAAGTTTAAAAAAAGAAAAGAAATCTGGAACAAAGACATACCTAGAATAAAGAACAAAAGGAGGCCGGGCACCTTTTGGTGGCTCTTGCCTGTAATCTCAGTGCTTTGGGAGGCTGAGGCGGGAGGATGGCTTGAGTCCACGAGTTTGAGACCAACCTGGACAACATGGCAAGACCCCTATCTTTACATTAAAAAAAAAAGCTGGGCATGATGACACATGCCTGTAGTCCCATCTTCTCAGGAACCTGAGATGGGAGGATCACTTGATTCCAGGAGTTTGAGGCTGCAGTGAGCTACGACTGCACCCCTGCACTCCAGGCTGGGCAACAGAGCAAGACTCCATCTAAAAAAATAATAATAATGTACACCTAAACTCTATTTTAAAAAACCACCCATAGTACTATGAATAAAGTCCAAACTATTTAGCAAAGTCTAGAATAATTTTGATTACATTTTATTGATATCCTCATTTAAAATAGAAACAAAATATAATCATGGAGCTATCAAATATGATTTTTAAAAATATTTAGTGATAATCACTCATAAATACATATTGAAATGAGGGAATGAATACAATCGTTCTCTGAAAAGGACTGTAATGGAAAGCAAGGTGATTAGAACTTGATTGCAAGGAATAAAAGAAACACAAAATAAAGGTAAAAGATTATGTTTCTCGTCTAATTTCTGTTTAACTGAGGGTATCCTATTTTGGGGGTTCTGATTAAGATCAAGGATATAGAAACAAACTTTAGAATCATCTGAAGAGTTTATGTTTGTTTTGTTTTGTTTTGTTTTTAAGATACGGTCTCGCTCTCACCCAGGCTGAAATGCAGTGGTATGATCACAGCTCACTGCAGCCTCAACCTCTCAGGGCTCAAGTGATCCCCCAGCTCAGCCTCCTGAGTAGCTGGGACTACAGACCCACACCACGATGTCTGGCTAATTTTTTATATTTTTTGTAGAGATGGGGTCTCACTTTGTCGCTCAGGCTGGTCTCCAACTCCTGGGCTCAAGGGAACCTCCCGCCTTGGCCTCCCAAAGTGCTGGGATTACAGGCATAAGCCACTGCATTCGGCTGAGTTTATTTCTTTTGCGCAATTCTAAGTTAATAAATCTTAGTTATGGGGCACCGGAGAAGAAAGAAGGGTTTAAAACAAATACCTGTTCCCTGTTTCTTTTTCAGGAGAGATGCACAGGCAGCATTGGTAGCCATGTCGAAGGCCAGCTTCTTCTCATTGTTTCTTAAGTCTGTTCTAGCACCTTCCCAACACAAGAAAAATCAATTAGGTGTCTTTGAAGACTATACAGTAGTAGCCAATCCTCTCTCCCCATAGCTAACCACTTTTGGCAAAACAAACTAGTGAACAACTCTGGCCCAGAAGTAAACGTTCTCAAAACAACAAACTTTCTCATGCAGTATATTTGGCATCTTTAATCAGGAAGCTTGTTGCTGCACCTGTGATAACAATTAATTCCAAGCCTTTCCCTTCGAGTCCCTTTAGAATTGCATGTGAACTTTGCAGTGAGGAGTTTATGGTCCCTGTGGAGCTTAACTTCAATGAGCCCTTTGCTTCCTCTTTTGCTCAAGAGGGTCTTTAGAAAAGACCAAGTGGGTAGTGCTTGAGGGGATTAATATTTTATATCTGTAAGTAGGTTCTCATGCAAATTAGCAGAATAGCAACACATAAAACCAAGAGGCAATTCATTATTCCCATAAGCCATCTTCTACCCACTTTTCCTTTGCCTTTATTGTGTTCAAAATTACATCAGAATTCATAAATACATTTGCATTGTTAAGGATTCAAAAATACAAATGTATGCTGAACAAAAGCACAAGTCCCATTTCATCCCGTCATCTTCTACCTACTCCTAAGGTAACTATTCTTAACAAGTGGGCGTGAGTTCTTATCTCCCTTATTTGCATCAACGCATTCATACACATATTGATATAGACACAAAATCATACTACACATATTGGTCTGTAATTTCATGTTTTTAAAACTTAATGTCTAATGGTACTGTTTTCTTAGCAATACACATATTTGTAACTTAACCATTTAAGTATTCCATTTTGTGGATGCTCCAAAATTTAATTACTCCTGTATTGATGGGTACTTAAGCTACTCCTAATTTTCATTATCTCAAATACTCCAGTGAACATCCTTGAACAACATCTTTGTTCACATGTATTTCTGAGAATGGTTTACTAAAAGTGGTACTGGAAAGTAAGGCTAAGTCCATTTTAAATTCTGCCAGCTACTGCCAGATTGCTTTTCATACTAGTCTCTAATGATCCTCTGAATTTATGTGGTATCAGTTGTAATGTCTCCTTTTTTATCTCTGATTTTAAGATTGCTTTCCAAGAAGGCTTTAGGCCAAGCATGGTGGCTCACGCCTGTAATCTCAGCAATTTGGGAGGCCAAAGTGGGTGGATCATTTGAGGTCAGGAGTTCAAGACCAGCCTGGCCAATATGGCCCATCTCTACTAAAGATACAAAAATTAGCCAAGCATGGTGGTGCATGCCTGTAATCCCAGCTACTTAGGAGACTGAGGCATGAGAATCACTTGAACCCAGGAGGCGGAGACTGCAATGAGCCAAGATTGCACCACTGCACTCCAACCTGGGCAATAGAGTGAGACTCAGTCTCAAAAAAACCCAAAAACTAAAAATAGAAGGCATTATCAGTTCATACTTTCTGCCACAGTGTAGGAAAGTGTCATTTTTTTTGCAACCACTTCCCCTTCAATAAACAAAAATAGGCCGACACAGTAGCTCATCACGCCTGTAATCCCAGCACTTTGGGAGGCTGAGGCAGGCAGATTGCTTGTGTTCAGGAGTTTAAGACCACACTGGGTAACATGGCGAAACTCTGTCTCTACAAAAATTAGCCATGTGTGGTGGTGCACATTTGTAATTTCAGCCACTCGGGAGGCTGAGGTGGGAGAATCACTCGAACCCCAGGAGGCAGAGGTTGCAGTGAGCCGAGATCATGCCACTGCATTCCAGTCTGGGCCACAGAGTGAGACCAAGTTTCAAAAAAAAAAAAAAGAAAAAAAGAAAGAAGTGTCCCCAAATTTAAAGGCACAGAAATATTGCATCAAGAAAAAAAAAAAAGTATGTTTAGTTAGTAATATAATGATCTTGTGTCAAAATCTTACTCCTAAGCAGATCATTCTATTCACAGTAGGGTTATATAAGAAACTTCATTCTCTCAGTGTGCCATAGGTCAAAAACTCCTGAGGGTTAACAGTTCTGTGACTAATCATATATTGTATTACACTTTAGAGCTCATAGACATGATTTCTATCAGAACAGGAAATATTCAGAGAATGATGATAGAGAAGAAACAGAACCATTTCCTGGGTCCCTTTAGATGAGCGCTAATAGGAATATAATGTGATCCACATATATAATTTTTAATTTTCTAATAGCCACATTTGCAAAATGTGAAATTAATTTTAATTATATATTTTATTTAACCCAGCATATCTGAAACGTTATCATTTCAACACATAACCAACACGAAAATTACTGTGATGTTTTACTTTTTGTTTCACTAAGTCTTTGAAATCTGTTATGCATTTTACACTTAAAGCACATCTCAATTCAGATAGCCTCATTTAAACGGCTCAGTTGTGCACCTGGCTAGTGGCTGTCATATTAGACATCAAAGTCCTCAGCAAACCCTTCACAGGGCCCTAGAGTGATCCTCACAGTGTCTGGCCTTTTAGACCTGGAGCTTACCTCACCTGCATACTTAAAATCTAAACCATTCCTATCATATATCCCACAATATTGCTCTGAGGATCCCTAATAAGGGTAATTCCATGACAAGTGTCTTGGGGACTCAAGCATCCTACACAATAGGCTTCTGGACTAGGGTACAGTATGGGTGGTCTGCCTGGCCTTCTCTAAGAGTAAACTAATATTTGCGGGACAAATGGATAAAGGGATAGTCGGTTTATAACTTCACTGTTTCCCCTGACTTATAAAAACAGGGGATCAAGATATCGTCTCTCGTTCACTTTACACCTAGCACCTGCTCAGCTGAAAGCAGGACATTGCAGCCACATCATTCTTGCTTATCCATCAAGACCTCCCTGTGAGAACAGGGGCCTCAGCAACTTTACTTATACAGCTTTCTCAGACAGGATCTCCCCAACACATGTGTACACACACATTCTTTGTTTCTAAGGCTGTATAATCCTGCAGAAATGTACAGTACAGTTCTTACTAAAAGTAATATATGTAATGTTAAAGCTTGCCATGATTTTAGTTTATATTAAAATCTAACACAAACCAACACCCAATAATTTTATTTTATCATAACTACTCCACGATATACAGGCAGAGCAAAGGTTAAACCCTATTCTGAAATAAGACTATTATTCTTCCTACCATTTCAAATGGCATAATTTGATATAGACTATTTTTCAGGGCAAGCAAAGACCAGATAAACTCAGCACAGACTTTACCTTTTGCCAGAAGCAACTGGACAATATCTGCATAACCCTTCCAGGCAGCAGCATGCAAAGCTGTGTCTCCCAACTTGTTCTATAGTGATAAAAAGAGAAAGTACCATATGAAAGTACATGCTAATTTAGGTTTAACCCAATTAAACCTAAAATGGGAATGAAGTTATAGAATTCCAAAGAGAAAAGGAAAGGAGACTCAAGAGATGGGAGAGGAGTCATTTTTGGGAGATGGAATTGGATGGAGGAGTACAAGCTGACTTGGTGGAGCACGAGCTGAAAAGCAGATGCCTGCAGAGGGAGACCCAGGAGGAAGCAAGCAGATTTGAACATGCAGAAACCTGGCAAAAATGAGGAACTGGAGATTCCTGGAGGTATCAGGGCAGATATGAGGCATTGGTGAGAAAACAGAGATACTGGTTAAAAGTACTTATAAAAAGTAGAATCTCAGAACCTCTTCCCCTTCTCTTGGTGCCAGATGACCCAATAATGATGACAGATTTACTTGTTAATAAAGTAATCTGATAGTTTCCAAGTTCATGAACACTAGGTACAAGAGAAGGTAGCAAAAGGCCAAAAACTAAAAGCTGAAGGTTAGGTAAAAAACCTACAGACTGAACAGTAAGACCCCTCTCTGAGGTACCTTTACGTACCCCCACTGCCCAGTGTGCACACACCCCCAGGCAGGAGACTGGAGGGTTCCTCTGGTGAAGCAGTGCAGTCCCATGTGCAGGGGAGAGAAGGAGTGTACTTTCATTAGCATTTGGGTGTCACCTAGCGAAATAGCCAGGACCTCACCAGATCGCCCTGTGGAGGAGCCCACCAGCCAGCAGACCTCACCAAGCACACACAGTTTCCAATCACACTTAAAAATGAATGGATAAGGGCCAGGCATGGTGGCTCATGCCTGTAATCCCAGCACTTTGGGAGACCAAGGAGGGCAGATGATCTGAAGTCGGGAGTTTGAGACCAGCCTGGCCAACATGGTGAAAGCCCGTCTCTACTAAAAACACAAAAATTAGCCAGGCCCGGTGGCACAGGCCTGTAGTCTCAGGTACTTGGGAGGCTGAGGCAGGAGAAGAGCTTGAACCCGGGAGGCAGAGGTTGCAGTGAGCTGAGATTGCGCCACTATACTCTAGCCTGGATGACAGAGCGAGACTCTATCTCAAATTTAAAAAATAATAATGAATGGATAGATAATGACATCAAGTGTTCATGGAAAGCCTACAATATTTTAGGAAAGACCAAAACAAACAAAATAAATGGATCTCAAAGAGAAAAAACACAGTACAGTGAATAGCTAAAAAATACAGTTTGAAAAGTTATAAATATTATATCAGCAAGATACAAGATCATATTGTGTCATGAAACAAGAAAAAGAAAGATACTGCATAAAAGTAACAATCAGAGTAAAATAAGAGCTTATAACAGACGAATTTTAAGAACGGCCCCCACGGTTCCTGGCCCCCTGTATAGGCCCCCTCCTCTTGACTGCGAGTGAAAGCAGTGAATGTAATAGGCTATCACTCCTGTAATTAGGTTTCTAGTCAGCGGATGTTGAGTTCATCAAAAGGGACATTATCCCAGGTGGGCCTGACCTAACCAGGTGGGCCCTTAAAAACTAAAAACGATCAAGCAGCAGACAGACAATCTCCTTCTGGCCTTGAGGAAGAAAGCAAGCAGCCATACTGTGAGCTGTCTACAGAGAGGGGCGGCCTCTAAAAGCTGAGGGCCTCAGTAGTACTACAGACACAAGAAAATCAATTCTTCCAACAACCTAAATACACTTGGAAGCAGACCCCAAGCTCCAGATGAGAATCCAGCTCCAGCCAATCCCTTGATTTCCACCTGGGAGACCCTGAGCAGAGAACGCAGCTATGCCATGCCCAGAATTCTGACGTACAGAAAGTAGAAGCTGCTAAGCCTATGGTTGTTTGCTAGGCAGCAATAGAAAACTAATACAGAACTCTGGGGAACTAAAAAGATAACCAAAATAAAACAGGTGAGAATATCTCTGGGAAAAATTAAGAAAACTGAAGGTTCAATCCAAGAAGTCCAACATCCTACTAACAGGCATTCCAGAACAAAAAGAACAAAGAAGGGTCAGATAAAAACTCTAAAAGAAATAATACAAGATAATTTTCCAGGCTGAAAGAACTCATCATAATCACTGGGAAGAGATGAACGCTAAGGCACATCATCATAAAATTTTAAAACACCAACAAAAAAGTAAATACTCTTAGCAAGAGAAAAAGCAGATCACACATAAAAGAAGGGGAATCAAAATGGCACCAAACCTCTCAACAGCAACCCTGGAAACAAGAATGCCACAGAGCCATGCCTTCAAAATTCTGAGGGAAACTGTTTTTGACCTAGACTTCTGATCAGTCAAATAATCAATCCCAAGCTTCTCTTTCTCAGGAATCTGCTTGAAGATGTTCTCTGACAAAAGAAAGACAAGGGATCCAGAAAAATGAAGATGCAACATGGCAGAGAATGGAAGGCGTTCCCTGGAAGACAGCTAAGGGCCACAGGGACCAAGTTGCTCAGTCTGGAGAATGATGGAGAACTTCAGGAAGTATGAGTCCAGGGAGAAAAAAGAAAGCTGTTGATTATCTTACACATTTTGGAAAAGCATTATATGTCAAGACTGTATAAAACAGTAGAGAAGTCACAGTGAAATAACAAAAAATGAGTTTTAAAAAGTCAATAAGTACAGAAACAAAAAAAAAGGTTATATAAGCAATGAACACTATTTAGGCACCCATAATAAAGTAAACGTCATATAGTAATATAACCAAAAACTGTGATGAAGTGCATTGAGGAGCAGAGGACAGGCTGGGTGCTGGGGTGCTGAAAGATGAGAGCTGGGGCAGTGACAAGCTTAACCCTTCACATACCCAACAGGAGGCCAAAGTACACATGAAGATAACGCACGGAGAGATAGCTCCGTCAGCCTATTCCTTGGTAAGACAAAGGTAAGTACAGAAAGAAAGAGCTAAAAGCTGAAAGTGACATCTGAGGAGGAGTGGGTTTGGCACTTGGGGCTGTGGACAATTTGAATTTTAGTGCAATTATAATTTTTAAATTATGCGCTTGCGGTATTTTGACAATACTTCACATGCCCATAAGTTGCTCTGTACTAAAGAGAACAAGCAGGTATGTGTTAAATAATTTTCAGATAAGCAGTCTTACCTGCTGGTTCAGTTCAATATTTGGTTGAGTAAATAGCATTTCTACTATATCTGAAATTCAAAGAGAAAAGATACTTTTTTAAGAATTAAAATTAGAAGCCTGACAAATCTAGGTACAATAATTTTATAAAAGCGAGATTCTTTAGAAGAACCTTCAAGAAAATGTTAACACATTTTCTAAAATTTATAAAATAGAAAAACTTAAGAATCTAAAAAGTGGAATTATTTAGGAAAATACACTTTTTCTAATAGTTTTGGCTTTTGCATTTTCATATGACACAGGAATATTTTTACATTCATTATAATACTTTTCATTCATATAACTAACATGTTTATTAGTTGAAATAAGATAAGCTTCTTTTTAGGAGACAGTTACAAATTTTCCTTTGGCACTGCTATTTAATTTGTTGAGATCTTCTTTCTTATCGTTGTTGAGTTTATTTCCTTTGTTATAGAGAGACGTCGAAAAGCAGTGGGTAATACATTTTTGGCCAGGAAAAAATACATCTAAAAATTCACTTTGTCATTATTATTGACTATAACAGAAAAAGTATCAATGGAATCACTAACTTAGGCAAATGTTGGCTTTCTCTTGAATCCAATAGTTTGCATGAAACTTACAATGCAAATCATAAAAGCAGACCTTGTGAAAAGCTAAGCTAGGGAGCCAATTCTGATCTTTTCTTCTGTAAGATGAGACAGCGGTTTTGTTTTGATATTACTGCTGTTTTCCAGTAACCTTTCTAAGCCTGAGAGAGGAAAGGAAGCGTCCAGTCTTTCAAGCGAGAGGGGCCCATGCGGAGAGACTGGCTGACCACACTCTACCCACTGTTCTACAGAGCTTCCAGGAACAAGGCTTTTGGCCGCTGTTCTAAAGGATTCAAAAACAATAACCAACGCTTTTTCTTTCTCGTTTTTTGTAAATCTGGCTCCCGTAGGTGAAACAGATTTTCAGCAGCATAGAAACATACAACAAACAAAATGGAATACCTTTGTGACCCCCGTGGCAAGCCCAGTACAAGGCAGTGCTTCCAGCTTTGTCTAAGCCATTAACACCCACTCTGTTGTCCAAACACTCTCTCAACCAGCTCAAGTTGCCTGAAAGAATTTTACATATACAAAAACACAAGAAAAAAAAGCTTTCACTTTTTATTTTGCTTTTAAATACATTTCATTATTTCATTCTGCATAAATTTCCATTTGCAATGGATTAATCAGCAAGTAGTAAATTAAGACCTGCCCATTAATGCATTTATTATGGTACATTTTGACTTCCAGGTTATTAATGGAAAGTATTAACATCAATGTTTCTAACGGTTAAAGGGAAGAGTTGCCTAAATGGGTATACTTAAGGTATTTCTATTCTGTTAAAAAATATATGTGTGTGTGTGTGTGTGTTTGTGTGTGTGTGTATATACATATATTATTTTTTCTTTGTGAAATTCTGGAAATTGAGGAAAAAACAATCAAACCTAAGAACAAGCAGATACTATTCATATTCATATTTACAATGCATCTTCAGTTCCTGTAAGAAAGGCTAAATAACCTACTCAAAGCTGCTGCTCTTATAAGCTAAACTATAACTATTAATTTAAAATCCTCAGGCTGATGTCCCAAGTATCTAACTTACAAATAATTTTTTAAATGTCAGTTTAGTCCTTTTACTTTTTCACAATCCTAACCAATAATTTCCTTGTGTACATTCAGATTTCCAAAAAATCTAAAAATTGAATGAAATGGAACTCACTGAGGTTTTACAAAAACTCCCCATTATCTACAGCAGGGTTACTCGGCAGCAGCCCCATTGGCATTTGGGGTTGGATTTATTGTGGGGGTGCTGTGTGCTGTAGGATGTGTGGCAACAACCGCTGCCTCTCCTCAAAAGATGCCAGTAACATCCCTCCAGTCATGACAGTCAACACGTCTCCAGATATTGCCAAATATCCTCAGGGTTTGTGAAAGAGGAATCACCCCTAGCTGAGGACTACTGATCTACAGAATAAAGCCCAAGACAAGATTGACAGTTGTTTGGTCAAGGATCCTCCCCAGGTTCATCCCTGTTGTTATGCCCTCCCTGGCCAAGTGCTCACCACACCAATGCTCTCCTAAATGCTGTACCCACCAGATCCTTCCATTCTTCTGCCCTCCAGTTACCCACCCTGGCCTCTACAGCCTGTTAAACACATTTCAATTACTGTACTTATCATACCATATTTTAATGATCTGTTACATCTCTCTCTCCCCTGCCAGATGTTGAGCTTTGGAAGTCACAGACCATGTCTTTCGACTTGCGTCTCCCCACAACAGTGTTTCTTGACTGACATTTTAAAATTAAAATCACACTTCTCTAGGGTAATAGATGTTGGGACAGACTGTCTCTGGGGAAGGCAGGGATTTAACTGAGAAGGTGCAAAGGGAGCTTTATAGGATGGCAGAAATGTTCCAGATCTTGATCCGAGTGTTGGTTACATGGGTGTATGCATTTGTCAAAACTAATTGAAATCCATGCATTTTACTGTACTGTATACCTCAGTCAAAATGAATCACACCTACCTCTTTTTGCTGCTTCATGCAATGGATTGTCAATAGATTCTGCCTGCTCAGCCACTAGATTGAAAATAAAAAGTGTTAGCCCAATGTTGAATTGCCACACAAATGATTTACTGAAGCCACTCATTCACCACAGTCCCCCAGCTTCAGGAGTACCAGGGCCTTCAACACAGTTTCCTTTACTTAATGTGGATAAAAAGTAACAGAAAATCAAATGGATAGTTCTTGCATTAAATGAAACTGAATTAGGTGTTAAGGGAAAGAAAGCCAGGCAATAACGCAATAACATAGTAATTAACTGGAAGTATAAACAAAAACAAACAAACCTGCATACCTGAGTTGAATGCATACTTGATATTACTCAAGTATTCAATAAACAAAGCACAAAAATGCAAAAGAAAGCATTTGATGTTCATTTTTACATTTTGTAGATCACTCTGCTTTAAAGATGCCTAAAAGTAATTTTGAGTCTCTTGTGTGTATTTATGTAGGAGTGGGTGGCGGGGGGAATATTTTGCTTCCTGTATTCAGAAAGAACAATCAGCATAGCTACCTGCCTCTAAAAGAAGGTGTGTTCACCGCTGTCCTAGAATCAGTAGGGAGTGTTATTAGGAAATGGAAGAAAAAGGATTAAAACTCAGGAGCCTTGTTTATCAACTCTGTGCTCTTTTGACTGTATTCTGCTGACAACTAAATAAGTGTTTTGTCCATTTGTCCCACTTCCAGCTAGAAGCAGCTTCATGGCGGGAGCCGTGTCTCTCCTCTCTCAAGGTCCCCAAACTGCCACGATAAGCATTTAATGAACGTCACTGCCCCGAACATGAATTAACAAGGTCGTGTTACTCCATCACAAAAGAAAGGGCTAGTCTAAGAAACGATCTGCAAGATTGAGTTATCAGCATTAAAAACAATTGTTTTAGGAGCTGAAGAAAGTAAAACCATAAGCGTTCTCGGAAACCTTGGGTTAAGAATGCTATAATGCTTTCTCTTGGGCCACACAGTCAGGCTCAAGCACATGTGGTGGTCATGACCAGTTTATTAACAGGAGGCTCATGGAATGGAAAATGTCCGAGACTGACAGTGACTCCATTGCCTTCTCAGCCACAGCAGCAAGCAGAAAAGCCTCAAGAACCAAAAAAATTCCAAGTGAACGAAGAATAGCTGAAGTAAAACCACTCAGCAACACTTACCATAGTTGCTTGGAATTAGTCCAGTCCTGCCTTTGGAGGTGCCTTTCCACCAGTTGGTATCACTCTGGTAAAAGAAGAGTTAAATTAAGCGGTGTGAAATCCAGACTGCATTCATTCACTTTTCAAATTATTTGGCTCCTAGGGAGTACCTGTTGTACAAAATGTCCATCAACCCTACCCACACTGTCAAGTTTCCTCACAGCCTAGCTGTGGGTGTCGGTCTCCCTTACCACTAAGTCACAAATAAATGTGCATCTGCCTGCAACAAATGGAATACGTTTCATGACAGAGTCCCAACAAACAAACAAATCAGAGATGATACGAAACAGAAGAAAACAAATTACGCTAGTTTAGACTAGCTATATGATTTTGTGTCCACAGTTTCATTTCTCTTAGCTCCGAGATAATATTTTTTATGGGGGAAGAAGTTCTAAAGATCTCTTTATATTATCTTCATTTTGGGGGTAACTTTTTACTATAGAAAAATTTAAACTTATAAAAAAATAGAACAATGTAAGGACCTTATATATACCCATTTCCCAACTGCACAAATCATTTCTTAATGATCAATATTGTTTCATATATGCCCCCACGACCTCCCTCCCCTCCTGGATTATTTTAAAATAAATTCTAGACATCATATTATTTCATTTGTAAATATTTCAGTATGTACCTCGGAAAGATACATACTTTTTGAAAGGCAATTATAATGCCATTATCACAGCTTAAAAGTTTTTTCCAACAATACTCAAGGTCAATACTCAAATTTCCCAACTGCCCCATAATTTGGGATTCAAATAAGGGCTATACAATATAATTGATTTGTCTTTTAAGTATCTTTTAATCTAAAGGTTGTCTCTCCATTCTTTTTTATCTCTTAAAAATATATTTGTTGAAGAATCCAGTTGGTTTGCCCTGTAGTTTCAACCTCTATGGATTTTGCCTGTTGTATCCCTGTGTTATCATTAAACATGTTCCTCTGTTCCCTCTATTGCCTATAAATTGGTCATTCGTTCTAGAGGTTTAATTAGATTCAGCTTCAACGTTTTTTGGCAAAGCTATTTCCTAGGCAGTACTGATTTCTTCCATTGGGAAACGCGTACTATCTGGTCGGCTTCTTTTCATAATGTTGGTAGCCTTTGATGATCATTGTCTAGATCCACTGTTTCCTGAGGGCTGCAAGACGGTGACATGCTAATTCTATCATTCCTTCTTCATTGAAATAACCTGAATACCTCTTCAAACAAAAACTTCCTCATCAATTCTCAGGTTGCCCAGATAAGAAATTCATAAAGAAAACACAGAATAAATGGGGATTCTTCTCCTTAACGGTTGTCAGAATAAAAACCTGGTTTCCTAGCATTCTCTCATGTTGACCAATGAGATTTGTTCAGAAGTAACATTAGGAACTCATAAATTTAAATGTATTGAATGTGTTTCAATTCTTGGAAGTTGTTGCCCTAATTGATGCTCAAATTGTCCTATCTTTGGCCAGTGGGAGTCTTTTCAAGTTAGTTCCCAAGTCCTTTCATTATGACCCTACTGTCTTTGGGAGCTTCCATGGTTTCTAATAAGACGATGTTCTGGGTTTATCTTGTACCTCTGCTGCCCCTGACTTGGTACTAGCCATTTCTCAAAGAAGCCTGTTCGTTTCAATGGAAAATAACATATTATTATTGGGTTGGTCATTTTTCCTAGGCCCTTTCAAAGAACACAGCAGGGAATATTTTCATTTTATTTTAGATAAAATACAATGTGATCCTTCCAATTCAGATGAAGGAATACAGAGCTTTTCTTAAACTGTCATTAATCTTATATCTGTGTATCCTTTTTGCCATGCTGAAAATCCGTTAGCAACATCACCGACCTAATGACTCATTTGCTCTAAACCACAATACACATGCAACAATCTCAGACTTAGCAATACCAACATTTCTCTAACAAGGGCATGATTTAAATCAATTTACCCTTTTTTGGCCAGTTCTTTTTGTCCTTCATATATATATTCTTCATATATATATGTTCTTCATATATATATTCTTCATATATATATGTTCTTCATATATATATTCTTCATATATATGTTCTTCATATATATATTCTTCGTATATATGTTCTTCATCTATATATTCCTCTCATATATATATATATATCCATATTCTACTATGGATGTTCAGTCAAATTGCTGAGTTTTAAACTTGGAATATTTCCTCTCTATGTGGTTATGTCAATTACTAGGGTACAATTAAGTTCATTTGATTCATTCTGCTTTTAATTTTTAGGGATTGCTTTTTACTCCAATTTTTAACTATGACAAGGTTTACATCAGTTCAAAGTCAAATCCACAAAACAAGCTATAATTTCCCAAAAAGTCTATCTTCCATCTATGTCCATTATACCCTATTTCCTTCCCTCCACCTACAGAAAGGATATGTACTCTTCATAGAATAAAACTAAATTTTACTTCGCAACTCATCTTTCAATTTTTTATTTGAAATTGAGAAAAATAAGTGTCTGCATGTGTGTGTGTGTGTGTGTATACATACACTCTCACCCTTTCCTAAAAAGTGAGGATATACTATCTATATTTTCTCACTTTGCTTTTTTTTCACTTAAATTACTTCATAATAGCATATAGAGATATTCCCCATTTCTTTCTATAGCTGCATAATATTCTGTTTGTGGATAGACCAAAGCTTACTGAACTATTTTCCTATTGATGGAAATAAGGGCTATTTTCAATCTTATGCTACTATCAATTGTGCTAAAATGAACAGACTTGTACATATGTATTTCTGTGTACATATACATTTAAATAACTTACAATGTTATAGCTACATAAAACAGTCTTTGTATGTGGTATTACAAGATATTATCTGGACTTACCATGTCAGTAATGTAGATAATATCACCTTCCTCAAAGTATAATTCATCTGGCTAGAAGAAAAAAAAAGTTTGACTCCATGTGATTTTTCATGAATTAGAATATAATCATTACATAGATTCAAAATTCTATCATATTCTAATAAATAATGTGGTTTTATACACTTAAATCAGCACATAAGCCATATAATAAAACATTACTGAAAAATTAATAAATGAATAGATTTTTTCCCATGATGAACTTCAAAGAATTACAACTATAAAGATTCTCCACACACATCTTGTATTCTTCTACAACCAAAGTAAAACATTTGTATATCAAAATAGAATATTAATAAAACTTCTTCCTTGTAGAAATTCTAAAAGGTGGTATTTTTTTTTCATAAAAAGATAAATGTCTAGAATTAGAATCATGAAAAACAGCCAGAAGCTTGGTTTTCTCTTAAACAAGGCCTCAATCCTGGAACACTTTAAGATCAACATCTGCTATCTGCTTATTACGAGAAAATCATTGTCCTAACTCTTCATGTTCAGGGAGAATGAACATTTTCTGTATGAGAAAAGATAATATGTAATTCAACCATGAATAAGGCTAAAGAGCTAAAAGATATGAAGCAGTAACTCAGGCAGTCCAGAAACCCCAAGCAGCTCTAAGGAGTTGGCTAATTACACCAACCATATGTGCTCTGGCCTGTACCAACCAAATGTTCTAAAAACTTTCTGAGGCCAGATGTGGTGGCTCATGCCTGTAATCCCAGCACTTTGGGAGGCCGAGGCAGGTGGTTCATGAGGTCAGGAGTTCAAGACCAGCCTGGCCAAGATGGTGAAAACCCGTCTCTACTAAAAATACAAAAATTAGCTGGGTGTGGTGGTGGATGCCTGTAATCCCAGCTACTCGGGAGGCTGAGGCAGAGAATTGCTTGAACCCGGGAGGCAGAGGTTGTGGTGAGCCGAGATCATGCCACAGCACTCCAGCCTGGGTGACAGAGTGAGACCCCGTCTCAAAAAAAAAAAAAAAAACCTCTCTGAATAAAGATACACATTTTAAACATCTTTTCCCCATTAGTAGATAACACTTGCCGTGACTTTATAAGTAAGTAGGGTGATGCCTACTGAGAGCAAATTTCAGATATTAGGAAATATTTACATCATCATGGTGGATGAAAAATGTAGGACACAAATTTCACATGTGATAAGAACACAACTATGCATTAAACAGACACAGAAAAATTTCCAAATTCTGTCATGATCATGTGTTGCTTTCATAGTTTAGGTGGGAAAAATACTATTAAAAGAAAGGCTCTGATGTTTGTGATTATAATTACTATTCCATATAAATCAAAATTATGCTAGTGAAAATTACTTCACCCAGCCAGGTGTGGTAGCTCACGCCTGCACAATTCCTGCACTTTGGGAGGCTGAGGTGGGCAGATCACTTAAGGACAGGCATTCGAGACCAGCCTGGCCAACATGGTGAAACCCCACGTCTACTAAAAACACACACAAAAAATGTGCCAGGCATGGTGGTGCACACTTATAATCCCAGCTACTCAGGAGGCAGAAACATGAGAATCACTTGAACCTGGGAGGGAGAGGTTGCAGTGAGTTGAGATTACACCACTGCACTCCGGCCTGAGCGACAGAGTGAGACTCTGTCTCAAAAAATTGTTTTAATAAATAAAATTAAAATATTTCATCCATTCATTTTTCCATTTGTTTACCTCCTCTCAGTAGCAGACTAGGGCAGTAAATATGATTCTGCACTAGTAATTTATTTAGTTTTAAGGCTGATCTACATTCTTACTATATTTCTCCATGAATGTAAATTAAGGCTATTATCAGCCATAACATGCTTTAAGCAACTATAATACATGAAAATATTTAGATGCATTATGCATTCAAATATAAAAATTAGCAAATGATGATTATTGATGCCCCCAAATGGCTAAAGTCCTTTAAAAGGTAATTTTCTGAAACATATATTGCTTTTACACTTTGATTTGCACAGACTAGTCTGACACATAGCACAAACTATGGAAAATTTGTTATATGTACTAGACCTTGTGACATACATTTTGATATTATTTGAAATAAGTTTTTACTTTTTACTTTTGTTGCTTGAATTTGGGAAAAAAGAAATTAATAACCACTAATATTCTCTCAAACCTGTCTCTAAAATGTTCTAATGATCAATGATCACTATTACTACCAATATGTGGTAGATATAGAAAGTGATTAGGTAAAGAAACTATTTCCTTTAGTATTTATTTTGATGTAAACTGGATCACTCCCAGAGAGGCCAGAAAGATGGCTCTCTCCCCACCACAGCATCCCAGCTGGACTCAGCAACCACCACCACTCGCCCCCACAACATTAAGGTTGGCCTTTGTTGGCAATTTTAACACCATCTGACTCTCCTTTAGATGGTGCCAAGGCCTGGGAGGGGAAAATGAAGGAAGAAGAAGAGTATAAGGAAAATAGGACATGTGGGCAGCAACATTTTCCTGGAGCAACTTTTCATTTCCTGGAACTTGAAAGAGTTCAATGCCATGAAGAGGTCTGTCCCATCTTTGAGCCGTCCCGGGCTATTCTTACTGAGCACGTCTCTCAAAGTTAATCTCACTCAGTTATGTCTTACAATAAACAGTGTCCTCCTCAAACAGTACTGTCAAGAAGTTAAGAAGTCATCTTTCCCTACAGTTTTACCCTCCTTCTAAGAATCACAAAAGTCACGTCTCCCTAAATTTCCATTTAATAAAACCACTCACCCTTTAAACAAACAAACAAAATACATTATGAAAAAGTACCAAACAAATAGCTTTTAAAAACAAAGCACACACACACACAATCATGGTAATGACTCTTTCTTATAAAAACAAGCAATAAATCAGGGGGAATAGGGAGTAACTGTTTAATGGGTACAGGGTTAATCTGTAGGATGATGAAAATGT